CATCGCTATTAGGTTGGAGGCCATCGCTATTAGGTTGGCCATCGCTAATAGGTTGGAGGCCATCGCTAGTTTTTGGATATGTGGGGCACGTATCTCTTCGCATACAGAGTCTTGGGGATGCGACATCGCATGACTCGTCTTTCTGCCCAGCAACTCTATATCACTGCAAGCAGTACAGAGTTCGTTCTCGCGCAGATTCACCTGGCAGTCGGGCATGGTCCAACAGTGCACTGTTGAAAAGAACCGGGATATGTATTACTCGGCACATGTGTGAGCAACTGCCCCCGGTAGGGCCGCTGCCCTGCATGTGGTAAACAAACACGATGAAATCAGATGGAACGCTACTAGGGGCTCCTGGCATTAGGAACAAGAAGCTACTAGTAACAAGTAAGATGTGTTGGAACGGGCCGCCTGGTCCGACTGTTCTCGGAAGTTCTCGGAACCGGGTACCATGGGGAGAACGACATCGCCGCTTGACATGGTGCACCGCCCATCTGAGTCTGCCCCCGAAAAAACAAATTACTTGGGTGATCTTGGGTGAACATTACTAGTTTGACGGTCTGATGCGAATTAACATGTGAACGTTCAAACATATTCACTATGAACTATGACAATCTCGACCAAAGCACAATGATTAAATGATAATCCTCACAAGCGTTCCAAAATGTTTCAAACCAGAGTTGCAATCCATGTCTGTTTCATGCTTTTGTTACTACTAGCGATGCACCTGTTACTAGTAGCGATGCACTTGTTTCTACTTGATGTCTTCTTCGTCAGCCACGGAACTTCGCCCCGGAACTTTGGCCACCGAGTCGTCACGAAGTCGTCACGAGTCGGGTCTCGAGACCCTTCGCAACGGACATGCGTCCGTCGAAGTCCCTACCCGTTCGATGCGGGTTCCGGGGTGCGGCGTTCGTCTTTGTGTTGCGGGCCTTACTAGTAGTAACAAGAAGCTAGTAGAAACAAGTGCCACGCTACTAGTAGCAAGTGCCTTACTAGTAGTAACAATTGTTCGTATTTGTGTTGCGGGTTCAGCAGTAGTGAGCAGAGATGCTTTTCCTACATGCTTGGGCACGCTAGGAACAAGAAGCTACTAGGGGCTCTTGGCCTTACTACTAGGAACAAGAAGCTACTAGTAACAAGTAAGATGTGTTGCTTCAGCTCCAACGCCGTCAAATGGAGTGCACCGCTTGGCTCAGATGTGGAGGTGCCAAATTGAAAAGGCATGCGGGCAACACGGTGGTTCTCTATTGTGAGGTGCATGTCTTGGGAGGCTTTTCATGACGGACAAGTTGCCAAAGCAGCGTCTACGTGTCACGACAGCAAGGTGGTCCGTGCCATGAGGGGCACTTGTTACTAGAAGCGATGCACTTGTTACTACTAGCTTCTTGTTACTACTAGTAAGGCACTTGTTACTACTAGCGTGGCACTTGTT